GTACTTCTTTGACCTTTGAAAAGCCCTCTATGCCAAAGAAGAAGAGGAGGAGGAGGAGATTGGATTTATACCCCACCCTTCAGAGTCTCAGAGCAGCTTACAAACTCCTTTCCCTTCCCCTCCCCTCCCCTCCCCTCCCCACAACAGATACCCTGTGAGGTAGTTGGGGCTGAGAGAGCTCTTTCAAGAACTTCCCTTTCAAGGACAGCTTTTGTCAGAACTATGGCTTGCCCAAGGTCATCCAGCAGCTGGAAGTGGAGGAGTGGGGAATCAAACCCGGTTCTCCCAGATTAGAGTTCATGCACTTAACCACTACACCAAACAACTTTACTCAAGTTGTATTGTCCTTTTCAAGGCCTACTTCAAACTCCAACACTGTGTGAGGTGAAAGCTATGGCAGATAGAAGAAGGATCTTTACAGTGAGGGTGTGGAATGTTCTATACCCTTGAAGTTTTGGTGTCCACTTACTTTACTCACCTGTAGAAATGGCTGTGGTATATTCTGTTACAGGCCAAATACCATGTGATTGATTTAATCGCAGTATTAATATGTGCTGAAGTTAAGGGGAAAGGGGGAAGACACACTTAGCTACTCAGCTATGGACCATTATGCATGCACCCCTTACTGCAGATTTTCAGAGCAGTAAGCCTTTCATCTTGACTTCAGATTCTGTGCCCACCTTATGAGCCATTCTTTTTCCACTGGTGTATTTATTCTGCAGCTGCAATTTTTAAAAATCAATTTTTCTAAATCAGGGTGGAACATCACTTGTGATGTGTGAGGGGGGTGCCCAAAGTTTTTTTTAAAAATTATGCAATTGCTGTATTGCAGCTGCGCAGTAGGATACAGAAAGCATCTTCCATTTAAATCCTCATGGTTCAGGTTTTGCGCATGCGTTTTAGCATTAGTTCATTGAATGAAAGGAAACAGAAAATAACACAGGCAAAGGGGGAGACCTGATATTGAGAAGACTTTTTTTGAAACTACCCCCCATTTTTTCAAATTAGTGGCACAAGACTAAAAAAGCTCTCCAAGAGCTTCGGCCAGAGGACTCCCCCCCCCCCCATACAAATTGCAGCCCTGTGCAAAGCATGGTAGAATTGCAGCTGACTTTGCACAGGTGCATGCACACAGACACGCACGCACACACGTTGCAAATGATCACAGCTTACAATGCCAGTGGGTTCTACCATGCATTGTGCACACTCAACATGTTCTCTCATATTATGAGATTGTGTGCCTCTTTCCCATTTCTCACAGTGGCTGATAACACAGCAGAGAATCCCCTAGTGCTCTGCAGTATGGAAAACAGAGTTTTGAAGTTGCTTATCATTTTCACAGATGTCCTAGTGCAGCTGCATTGTAATGCTAATTTCCTGCCCTCCCTTGAAAATTTGCGTGGTTTTCTCTTTGTGATTCTCTAAGTTGATCCTGCACACTGGTCGTGATCTTTGCAGTTTTTCAAAGCCTATCCTGTGTAGATTGCACTCTTCCTCCAAATGGATCGATCCCAAGCCCTTCTTAAATTTGGCAGTTCACAGCAGGTCCATGTGGCTCAGCCGCCATTTGAATGTTAGGTTGCCAGGGACTGCCAAAATGCCCCCCAAAAACCATTATTCAGTAAATCATTAAAGGGAAAAATGTTTTCAAAGCTTTAGGCTTCCCATCCCAGTGTCCCACTCTGTCTCTTTACATCTCATATCAATTTCATTCTGTGCTGATAATCCCGCTCCTTTATTTTATTTGCATGCAGCACTGAAATCGTTTTGGGGGAGCACAGGGAATGTTGTCATTTGCCTAATCTCCAATCCCCCTTTCAAGTCAATACCAGCAGGGAACTAAACCTCGTACAGCTCCTTTTAACTCCCCCTGCCATTTTAACTGTTTTTATTCAGCAATCTGTGGCCCTGTTCATACGAGCCCATTTGGGCCGGGAGCGGGACGGAACGGGGGCGGAGCAAACGGCCGTGATCCCACCTCAACATCTGGCGAGCGTGCCGTCTCCATCCCTGATCCGGCCCAAATGGCGATACCCCGCTGCAAAAACGAACCACCTATCTAGGTGGTTGCAACCGTCTGGAGCGCCCCAAGCCGGCCGTGGGATCGGTGGTGCGTCCTTGCGCCGCCGCATCCCGGCCCCCGGCCGTACTGTGCATGCTCGGGCATGCGCAGTTCGACAGCCTCCCCCTCCCATCGGGCTCGTCCTCCCCGGTGTCTGCTCTTGCCGGGGAGAAGAGGCGCCGCGGCCAGGGGATCCGTGGGATCCCGCCACAGCGTCTCAACGTTGGAGCGGCTCTATTTAGTCGCGCTTTGCCTCGTGGTTTCCCTGCCGTGTGGCAGGCACCTACGACTAGCAATTGTCTCATATTGCTGGACTCATGCTGCTTGTAAAAAAATAAAATAAAACGAGGGGGAAATGGAGCATGTATACTAATAAAGTGGGGAGAATGGCAGAAGGTGCAGAGTGGGTGGAACAACCTCGATGGAGGTGGGGAGTGACCTTCCAGGGACAGTAAAAGGGAGAGGGGAAATCCAAGGGAATCTGTATGCTTTTAAATTACCTTCAGCTTGGAAGTGAAACAAGGGGGGAATCGGCACAACAGCACAATAGCACTCTCAGAAAACCCGGGGAAACAGCGACCAGAAAGCAAACTGAGCGCCGAAGGGAGGAAAATCAATGCAGAACGACAAAGAAAACTCGATGAACATGCTTAGTGAAAGCAAGGGAAAATACCTGTGCATAATAGGCCTAAGAGCCAGTGCTCGTGTATGTGGTCAGCAGAAGCTCCCTGAAAGTGTTACATTTCAAGAGCTCATACATACATATACACAGACCTTTATTGGCAAAACGCAGGAACATAAGGAAGGCAATGGAACACAAGAGCTCATTGTTGGTCCCTGCCACACGGGGGGAAATTGATGCGGGCAAAGTGCGGCTTTTGAAAGCCGCACCAAAAGAGACACGCGGTGGCGGGATCACACAGATCCCGTGAGCCGCCGCGCAGTTGCTCCCTGGCACGATCAGATGCCGGGGAGAAAGCCACGGAAGGGAGCGTGAGGCCGCCGGCTGCGCATGTGTGCGCATGCGCAGTTCGGCTGGGAGCCTCGATTGCTCCTGCAGACGGCCGTGCCGGCGATCCGACGGCACAACTTGCTGTGGCGTTTTAGGTAAGTCCTGCTCTTTAGCAGGTTCTTTTTTGATGCGCATTTTCGGCCTGAAGGGCCGGATAGGGGACGGGTGCGCACCGCTTCCCAGATGTTGTGGTTTGATCCCGCCTGTTTGCTGCGCCCCCGATTCGTCCCACTTCCGGCCCTAAACTTCCTGTGTGACCGGGGCCTGTATAGCTTATATCGTGGAGCCTGCCTTGCCCATTCTAAATTTGAGAGTGTTATGTCCAAAGTCATGAATATTATATTGTCCAAAAGCACAAGCCAGAAGTTCCAAACATAGATCAAAAATTAGAGGAGAAAGGGTACAACTTATCTAGCATCCCTCTCAAGAGGATGTGGCACAGAAAATATGCCATTAGTCAGCACCCTTGATGTGGAAGACGAATAAAGAATTCTAATCCATTTCAAACATTCTTGAGTAAAACTGCATTTAGTCACTGTAACAAAGATACATTTGTAGTATATTTTGTGAAACACCTTCTCAACATCGAGTGAGAGAATAGCAACCTGATCAGATGCCTTCCTATTTAAAGCAATCGAATCAGTCCCCTCCTCAGACCTTGATATGCCAATCTCTATGATTTTGTAACCACCAGCATTAAGTGCTATAACGCGTTCTACATCGTGCTGCCCTTGGAGATCATTTGGAAGTTTCAGCCAACTCAGAATGTAACAGCCCATCTCATTATCAATTTGGGGAGATACGACCATATTCATCCTGTATTATATCAAATCCATTGGTTTAAAGGGACATTTTAAAGTACTTGCTTTGGACTTTTAAAAACCCTCCGTGACCTAGGAGCGACACACTTTAAGTTATCCTCCACTTGTTCTGTTTTTTTTTTTGTTTTTTTTTAAACGGGGCCTATTTCATACCCAGACAATGTGCAAGATGATAACTCTGGCAGATAGAAGAAGGGTCTTTACAGTGAGGGTGTAGATTGTTCTGCCCCCTGAAATTCGGTGCTCCACATCCTTTACTTGGAGTTCTGGTATACTCTGTGACAGGCCAAATACCATGTGATTGATTTAACTGCAATAACAACATGCACTGAAGGGGGATGGGGGAAGACAAACTCATCTACTCAACTAATAACCAGTGTTTGTATATGTAGTCAGCAGAAGCTCTCTGAAAGCATTGCATTTCAAGAACCTCTTGGTGTAGACACCATCGTTATGTGCCCTGCCCACAAAAACTTTCCCCCAGCCACTCCTGGCCATCATAGATCAGTTTATATAACCTGTAGAAAAGTGTGCCATGATCTGCAAATCAGTCAATCAACTCACTGCAGAAACAAGCAAACCCTCTTCAATCTGAGAGGGATTTCAGTGGAAAAGGTCCCTGCCGTTAACAGCAAAATATAAACAAGAGGTTCAACAGGAGGAGAGTCCAAGCAGTTCGTAACATATTTATGAAAATTTTGGTTCGGTAGTTGATCGAGAGGATTCGGCAAAGCCACTATCGGAAATGGCAGAACTAACGAGGCAAATCTGCCAGCCCATCCTGAGTGCTGGGTCTTCAGAGAGGCATCCCAAGAGTTAAAACCTGTTCAGCAAAGTTTTCTTTTAAAGAGCTAGACACCACCCTACCAAATAATAAGTAAAGGAAAGTTTAAACCATTAAGGATGGATTAAATAGTTAGAGCTAAGAAAGTGGAAGGGGAAACGGGGCAGATTCTGTTACACAGTATAATTATCATTGATTTACTAGAGGTGTAATAGGAGGTAGAACAACTATATATTCTGCTTCTTTCAGGTGACGGAGACTATTCCAGATCGAATTGTGTTTTACCACGTCAGCTGGAATTACTTTAGACAGTTCCAGGGCATGGATTTAATGGATCCTGTTTCCCTGTTGTTTCTGTTTGGCCTTTTGGTGGCATTCTTTTTGAAAACAGGCAGTTTCTGGAACACCAGCAAGAAAAATCTCCCACCAGGACCAAGGCCATGGCCCCTCATTGGAAATCTCCACCTTTTAGATGTGAAGAGGCCTTACAGAACCCTGTCCCAGGTAAACAATTTTTGTTCCTGCCATGCCACTCATGGGATTTGTGAGCTACCTCGATTTTCCTGTGGGCCAGAGAGCACAAGCTGCCCCTCCCAAGGGAAGGCAGCTATGTGTGAAATAATAAACATACAAGATATAATTGCTTTCTGTACCTGGCTACCGAAATAGCCTCGCCTGAATGGCATGGCTAGAAGGCATTTAAAGTGATCGTGATCGCTGTAAATGCCTTCTGACTTCACCGGCCAAGCCACGCCACTGCGGCAGCGTGAGTCCACGAGTGAACAGAGCAAGCATGTAAAGTTTAAATCCCTTCTCCATTATACCCTATGGGGACAGTCCCCATAGGGTATAATGGAGCTGAATAAATTCGGAAGTCCCGATTATTCCCCAAATCCCAATATCCTACCGATATGAGATTCAGGAATATCAGGAAATACCCATTCCCCCCACAACCCTAGTGAGTGCCAGGGGAAAGAACAGAGTGGCTGGCTAGCTGAAGCTCGGGGGATTAAACAGGTCTCTTATCACCTCCTTGTGAGCTTCTCAGAAGCATCCGGCAGGCCACTGTTGGATGTAGGCTTCTGGATGGATCCTTCCTCCACTTTTTCTTCTTTATGCTCTTTAATGTTCTCAGGAGACCAGAGAACTAGGATTGGGAAAGAATGCACAGGTTTACAGACCCCTGCCAACTAATGATAACTGTATAGCTGATCAATGGGGAGTAAGCAAAATGATTTTTTTAAAATAAAGGATTTTAGAAGATGTGCCAAGAGCTTGTTCTTCAGGAGGCATCATGATTCAGAGCAGGGGACAGACTCAGGAGAATTACCACCAGATAATTATGACAGTCCCAGGGGATTGGGGTAATATGCAGAGTATATTGCCCAGTCTCTTCAAATGTTAGCAAAAGCTATTCTCCAGAACAGATGTGACATTCTTATTAGCACATACTTCACATGAATTCTCAGCACGTTACTAACAAGCACTCAGAGGTACCGGAAAGGTATTTGGAACTGGTGATCAGCTGGATGATCATATTTCAGTCCAGACAACACTGAGGTCCTATGGGTCATAGGGATGGGCACAAACTGGTTAATGAACCAAAATTTGGCATGAACTTGTCCTGGTTCGGAGCCCCTGAACTGATGTTCAGGGAAGGTGCCTTCCCTGGACTTTTTCCAGACTTTTGTCCTGTTTGGTTCGGCTGTTTTATCTTGTTTTATGTATTTATATGTTTTATATGACCTGGCACATGGTACCCCTGAATGTGAGCTGCCCTGAGCCGTTTGCGGGGAGGGCGGATAGAAATTTAATAAATAAATAAAATTTAAACCTGACAGCTGAGCTGCGCAAGTCAACAGCTCACCTGTTGGATTTAAATGACGGCCAGCCATTTCAGCCTAACAGTGGACAGGTGCAGCCACCCTGCTGTTAGGCTAGCAGTGGGTTTCAGTTCCCCCAGCTTGGAAGTGGGGGAAGCAAGGTGGACCACTGAAATGGCTAGTGATGGGTTTAACAGAAGAAGCAGAAGAAGCTAAAAGGAGCCGCCTTAACCAAACTGAACCAGAATTTTTAGGTTTGTGCCCATCCCTAGTTGATCAATCATAGTGCTAACCAAGGAAGGGGGATCATCCTGTCATCAATGGATTTGCATTACCCCCTGAAAAACAGCTTGGAGGTACTATTAGTTCCAGTGCTACAGAAAGTCAAATCATAACTGTTAGTTGCAGAAAACATAAAAGAAGAAGAAGAAGAAGAGATTGGATTTATACCCCGCCCTTCACTACCCAAAGGTGTCTCAGAGCAGCTTACAAACTCCTTTCCCTCCCCCTCCCCACAACAGACACCCTGTGAGGTAGGTGGGGCTGAGAGAGCTCTGACAGAAACTGCTCTTTTTCAAGGACAGCTCTTATCAGAACTACGACTTGCCCAAGGTCATCCAGCAGGTGCAAGTGGAGGAATGGGGAATCAAACCCGGTTCTCCCAGATTAGAATCCACACACTTAACCACCACACCAAACTGGCTCTCTGCTGATCGCCAATTCTCAGCAGTCTTGGAGGAGCTTTGCTCTATTTCCAAACACAATTCTGGTGCTTTCCTTTAAAGACTTATTTAGACTGGGTGTTGGCTGTGATGACACAGCAAAGCCGTGGCATAAGACAGAAGCCAGTTTCGCAACCCCAGCAGCCTCAGATCGCTTGAGAACTGGGCCACGAAAGCCTCTTGTTGCCCTCAGGGAGAAAAAAACACCCAATTTATGGTGATAGATTGAGGGATCGTTTGCCATACTGCCAGGGAGAAGCAAGATAGCTTACTTCTGTTATCTTGACCCTCTAAGCCTGGGGAGCACCAAAAACCTCACTGGTTAGATGCCAGCTGGTGGAAAGAC